GACGTGTCTAAAATTCTTTTAAAAAGCAAGTATTAATGTTTACAAATCTAATAGATCAAGCTGAATGCTCCTACTAAAGACGCAAAATATGTCTTGCTAAATTTTTTTATTTCGGTTTTGCATTTTCGTCATTTGGATTTAAAGGTGAAAAAGGTGTACAAATGAGTTATTTGCAACACATTCAGGCTTTTCATATTTTAAAATATTTCTTGACAACTTTCATGAACCTGTAGCATTAATCCATACGATGGCAATGTATGTCAAAATTAGTTTGTAATATTCGCTGTTTCCATGGAGTCACTTTTCACGTTATTTTGCCTGTAAACGAGTTAATTATTATTCGATTTTCTAATTTATTTTCACCATACATAATACATTTTTGACTGGGCGGATTCAATTTTACATTTTCACTGTAACCGGAAATGGTGTCATATGGGCAAAACTGTATTTTTAGCCTTCAAAACAAATATTTTATTTAACTGCGTCGCATTTGTAATTTGTTTATAATTAAGATATTTGCTTCCACTCAACAAATAGAATGAACCCATGCAATCATGAAGATATCACAAAATGGATTCTAACTTCTTCAGTTGTGGGGAAATAGACGATATTCTACAAGCCGCTTTTTTAAGGTTTTTGGTCGATAAAAGTGTCAATTATTAATCGAGTTTCATAAATTTTTCAGCATGTGATGCCTAATGCCATTAACGATTTCCTAAAACTGATATAACATTTTCATTATCACAGTAAGTAATGTCATTTTGGCAAAAACTATATTTTTAGCCTCAAAAACAAATATTTGTTTTAAGTAAGTGATATTCATTATACGTATAAAATTATGATATTTGATTTCAATGGACAAATAACATGAATCAATGCGATCAAACAGATTAAAAAAGTGATTCTAACGTCTTCTCGTGCCAAGAAATAACCAATTTTGTCAGTATCACTTTATAAGATTATTCGCATTTTAATAAAGGATTAATTCTGTTCAAATTTTAATCAATTGTCTGTCATGCAAAGGACAATCAGAGTGTATATTTTTTTTTTTCTGTAAACCAATATAAATATTTTGTTGAAAATGGAAGTGATGTCATCGTGTCGAGTCTTCGTTGGTAAAAATGGAACTGGTGTTGTTGGATTTAGTGGCTTATTCTGCGTCAATTTCGTTTTAAACCACATGTGCAATGCAAATGTGGAAATCTGTTTAACGTTTTCATTGTTAGGGAAGTGACGTCAGTTCGTGTTCGGGCTATTTCGATTAAAAGGTGAACAATTAAGCTATTTACAACCCATTCAGCGTCTTCATATTTTAAAATATTTCTTCGTAACTTTCATAAACTCGTACCAATAATCCATACGAAGAGAATACATATGAAATTTAATTTGTAATATGCGCAGATGCCGAGAAATAGGCAATTTTGCGTGCGTCACTTTTCACGCTTTTTTGCCTGTAAAAGAGTCATTTATCATTCGATTTTCATTTTTGTTTTACAATTTCATGTCTAATGCCAATTCTGACTCGGTCAAAACAATTGAACATTTTCACTATCACCGGAAATGACGTCATTTGGATAAAAACTGTATTTTTAGCCTTCAAAACAGATATTTTATTAAAATGAGTCTCATTTGTAATGTTTTTAAAATTATGATATTCGATTCCATCCAACAAATAGAATAAACCCATACAATCATACAAATACCACAAAATGGTTGCTAACTTGTACGGTTGCTGGGAAATAGTCAGTTTTCAACAAGACACTTTTCAAGTTTTTTGGTTTATAAAAGTGTCAATTATTATTCGATTTTCATAAACTTTTCATCATGTGATGTCTTATGCCATTTATGATTTCACAGAACTAATTTAGTATTTTCATTACCACCGGAAATAATGTCATTCGGCAAAATATTTTTTTTAAAGTGAGTTATATTAATTATTCGTTTAAAATTATGATATTTAAATCCAATGGACATATAGATTGGATCAATACGATCATACAGATGTCCAAAAATTGCTTCTGGCATCTTCCCTTGTCGAGAAATAACCAATTTTGTCAGAAACACTTTGTAAGATTTTTTTCGCATTTTAATTTCCCAATAAAAAGTCAACTAACTGAGCGGTAAGTTAGTAACAAATTTTGTCAGGATCACTTTTTTGACATGTCTAACACATGGTTACAATGTATAAATGGAATTGATATTGCTGGATTTGGTTGATTCCGCGTCCATTTTATAACACGTGTGCAATGCTAATGTGGAAATCTGTTTAACGGTTTAATTGGTACCGGGAGTGAAATGAGTTCACGGTTAATGTGGCACCGGAAGTGACATAAGTTCAATGGTAACGTGGCACCGGTGAAACCCGTCATTACTGCTTCGCAGTTCTAGTTGTATATTGTATTGTTTCTTTCTTTGGCAGCAATTTTAGCTACCCCCTTTCTTCCCAAAGACTAAGAGTATATGCAGACTCGAAATCGTCCTTCTAAGATTTTATTATGCCAGAGAACGAATGATTTGGATGAAAAGAACTTTTGAACAGTAGTTGATGTTTGTCGGTTTCTTTGAAAATCACTTTCGTTTCTAATAGGCCTGTGGTTTTTTTTTGTGTTGCTGCTTATGATTTTGCATGTCTGACATCTGGTGTTCTCCTACACGGGTTATCGGAAAAGGGGGCGTAACCCAGGAACGCCGAAAATCGATAGGTACTCCTTCATCCCAATGCTCTACCACCCAATTTGGAAAAAAAAAATCCATTCAGACGGGCCTATTACACACCCACGCTGAAAAGTGGGCCTATAAAAATAATAGACCTATTATGTTCGCATTTTTATACACTGGCATTTTTATACGCCCACATTTTCATGTAGACGTATATTGCCGTCGCCCCTGTCCGTCTGTCCGTCCACAATTTGTTTGTGGACACTCTACAGGTCACAATTTTTATCCGATTTTGATTAAACTTAAAATATAGGTCTATCACCCACAGATCTCGGTTCCTTTCGATATTGGCATATATCGGACGATAACTTCATGGATTATGGACCCTGAGTGTACGAAAAATCACGTTTTTAGCTTGTGGACACTCTAGAGGTCACAATTTTCATCTGATTTTGATGAAACTTGAAATGCATGTTTATAACCCAACAATCTTGGTTCCTTTCGATATTCGCGCATATGGTACCGTAACTTTCTGAATTATGGCCCCTGATTGTACGAAAAATCGCGTTTTTAGCTTTTGGTCTCTCTAGAGGTCTAAATTTTTGTTTATCAGATTGAAAAAAAAAACCGTCGAAATATTTCACCGTTACACCCTGGGTTACAATTTCGTAAAAATCGGACCAAAACTGCCTGACAAAATGGCCGCCATTGGTACGCAAATAGTGTAAATATATGGTATATCAAGGGTGTGGACCCTCTAGAAGTCACAATGTTGATCCGATTTTGATGAAACTTGAAATAATATATCTTTATAACCCAGAAATAATGGTTCCTGTCGATATTTGCGCATATCGGATCGTAACTTCCTGAATTATGGCCCTTGATGTTACGAAAAATTTCTTTTTATTTAGCGTGTTCCCTATCCATCTCTTGGAAAATGTGGGCGTATCCTGCCTGGCAGCCGCTGGTTAAAGTTATATTTCAAGCGAGGTCGGGTACGGCTGTGGGGTCAGCTTAGTGAATATTTTGTTTTTCGTGCAATTTTTACCCTATATGTGTATGCACAGGTCGGAAACATTGCAACAATATAAATCTCGTAGTTTTGATTTCTCCAAGTTACCAGTGCAGTGACTATAATATATATACTCTTCAAAAAAAAAGTAGGAGATATTGAAATGCAAATACCTATATGCAGGTTGTGATATGATAAATAGTCATGAACACTTGACAAGCTTTGAGAGTATGTTCACAGATGAAGAACCACTGCAGAGCTGCACATGCGACACGCACTAGCGCCATACACGTGGGAGGGGTTCATTGTCAAATTTGACACTTCAAGGAAGGGTTGATGAAAACTGCCGCGTGTTGGTTTATCTATCCATGTTTGCTTTCCTATCGGTTCTTGCATAAGATTTACTGTTTAGCGTGCCTTTGCTTTAGTGCGTTACGTTTAATTTGATCGGGAGACGTGTTCGTCGACGTCAACCGACAACACTGCAAATAGGCCGTGGCACTGCAAGAGGAGTGGGCTAGATTGCCCCAAATCATGATTGGGCGGTTGATTAGGAGCAGGCCACGACGAATTGCTGAATGTCTGAGGATTGGTGGAGCAATTACTCATTATTAAGACAAAAATCAAAAACGTCCATTTTCACTTTTGACGGTGTATCTCTTCTCGAGTGAAATATGAGGCCGTCGGATAAGCCACCCATATGAACTGTTTATGTTCATGTGTAAGAAACTGGCCTGATATAACATACACTGGTTACCTCTAATAAAAACAGCAGTGCATTTCCGCAGTTTTGTATTGTTTCTGAATACTTCTACTTTTTTTGAAGAGATATAGACATAGATAAGTTACTGTTAGACACTTTGAGACTTTTTAATATCCACTGTTCACGGATTTAAAACTGATTATATAATTCTGGTAAATAAAGTATCAAGTTATGTATATATTTGCGTAATTTTCCGTAGTAACGGATCCATCAATCACCGTGTAAATCTTAGCCATCACTGCAGGCAAGTACTGAACGTCTACATTTTGCTCCAGGCAACTGTTCTGTACAGTCGATGTCCGGCATGTTGCTCGATGAACCGCTAATGTCAATGAACTCTATGTCATTTCGACTGTGTGCAAGGATCTAATTGTATTTATGCGTGTCCATTCTGTAATTCCTCACTAGGGCTTCTAAAGTTTAATACACCAAATATACATTTTTAAGGGAACCTAAAGATAAAGAAACAGACAAACGGGCGCGTAATTTTACGTGCCATTTGGCGGATTGAAAGTTGAACTTGGTATGGCACAATGACAGCTCCCGATTATACAATTTAGTGTAGTTCCGGTAAAAATAAAAAATAAAATCTGCAGAAGAGAAGTGACACCTTCCAGCACAACATTTTTCAAGTACATGTAAGCAAGATCATTTACTATTACCAGGAAACTAAACGTAAGTGTAGGGCATTGTTATATTTTGCACTGTATTTCTGACGAACTCTTTTCTGCGAATTTATCTTAGGTACACTAGTAAACAGGCTCACTCTTAATGGAGTATTGAAGATGCTATTGCCTATTACAAAACACGCATAAAATGTAATGAATTGTTCGATATTTCAGATCCAAACTAGAACGATAGAAGAAATACATCATATATTAAATGCTCGAATAATCAACGTAAGCTATGACAACGCTGTCTCCCTTCACACCTCCAATAGTGAAACGACTTTTGGCTTTGAAAAAAGGGGAACACGATAGAGACGATAAATGGTCAGAAAAAGCTGTCAAAAGTTTAGTTAAAAAGTTAAAGAAAACAGGTGGGTTAGAAGAACTGACTAAGGCACTGTCAACCCAGGACACCAGCACAAACTGTATTACTATACCAAGGTAAGTAAAAGACCCATTTCCGGTTCCTTAGTTAGTTGACAGTCATTATCATTAAACTGCCAATCCTACTTGTTCTAGTATGTACTGTGTACGTGACAGGTAGTCTGTCAGGGTCTAGTGACAGTCCCAGAGTGAAATTATGTGAATAACATGTACAGTAACTGTATAGAATGCCAATATATCAAAATAAAAAATAAACTTGTGGTGTAGCCTACTGGGGTATCCAGGTTAAATGTGACATTGAATTGTCAGAGTCTTTCCCTCAACATTTTGATTCCTGTTTTGATGTTGATAGCCAGGTCAGACTTGACTGTATTTCAAAGTTTTTCCATGCCACAGGTTTGTACACCAGCATTTATCAACTTTTTTGGCAATGGTTTGATAAGTGCATACAAGTGTACTTTTGGTTGGTTCCTAAGCTAAAACTCTGATTAATAAAAGTAAAACACAATTTGGAAAACTTCATACACATGTTTTCACTTGCCATCAGTGGCACCTACAATGCTGACAAGGCGTTCAGATTGTATGAAAAGCTGAGGCCCATATTAAAATGCATGTAAAAGAACCTTTGACAATTTGGGATCGATTCTATTAGTGGGCGTGGCCATAGAAATAAACATTACCATATGTTTGTCCGTTGTCTCAAAATGACGGAAGTATTGTGTGGACGAGACATCATTAAACCTCATTTGTTTTCAGGACAAACTTTTTTTTTTTTGTAGGTTTGAAATTTGTAAAGCCTTGAAGGGTTCAGATGGACTCTGATGTAACTCGGTTTCTTGTGCACATGCAGACTGTTAGGTCTGCGTGATTGCCAAAATTAAATGTACATAAAATGCCTTTGCTCACGATTAAATATAAAAAGTCAGATAAGATAAGTTCCCACCAATAATGATAATATTGATCATATTAAAATATTTGTAGTAATTCAATGTGGAAAGTCTAATACATTGTCAAAATTAAATGCTCATAAAATGTCTTTGCTCTCGATTGAATATAAAAGTCAGATATGATAAGTTCCCACCAATAATGATAATTATTGATCAAATTAAAATATCTGTAGTTTCAATGTGAAAAGTCTAATACAAACATGTGTAACTCATGTTAATCAAGTGTAATTTGTCAATGCCAGCGATCAGAATAACCATCAAAAGGCTATGTCAGACAAGGTGTATAATAATGTCACTTCTCCAAAGACTATATTATTATTATTATTAAGTTATCATTTTTCTTGCAAAATATTAACTTAATTTACTACAGTAAACCTCGCCTAAGTCGGATTTGTATAAAACGGATCTTTGCTCAACTCAGATAAAATCGTTTGGACCCTTTGATCATTCACGTTTTTCTTATTAATTTTCTGCGCGTAAGTCGGATCTTCGCATAACTCAGAAAAAAATGTTCGGTCCATTTGATCTAATTCCGGCCTGTTAAAAATAAGGCCTGGCTGACACCATTGAAATCGAAACAGAAGGCAGCGCATAAATTTGCGCAACTCGGCCATATATGACAAAGCGAAATTGGAATTTTTGGAAAAGTTTGATTGTAATTGAGCTAGGCAAAGCAATAATTGGCTGAAGTTTTTCAGCTTTTCAACGATTCTAATTTTCCCCCCACCCCAGCTTACCTAAATTTCGTTACGTCTTATACTTATATGGCCAAGCCACGTAAATCCGTACACCACCCCACATCTAGACCTCGATGGTCACCAGAAGGGGACAGATTTTTAACAGCATGTTGTGTTGCACATACTGACTCTAGCGAGGTATGCAAGGTCTTATTTTGTCACTAAAATGTTCCTTTATATTGTTCAGGCGTTTGCAGAGACTGACACACGACTGTTAACCAGTGAAAGGTTGCCCGGTAAAATTGACTGGAAACCGATTTTATTTCGACAAGGATTCAATAGGAAGGTTCCTGAACGTACAGGGCGATAATGGTCCCAACGCTCAGAGCTGAACTAGGTCTTCGGCTAACTCGGATCTTTGCTAAACTCAGATAAAATTGGTCAGTCCATTTAGATCCAACTTATGCGAAGTTTACTGTACCTACATGAATAGTGATTTGGGGGATTCAGATATTTGAGACCGTTTGAATAATCAACGGACAAAAGGTATGCAAGGCCTTATTTTGTCACAAAAATGTTCCTTTACATTGTTCAGGCGTTTGCAGAGACTGACACACGACTGTTTACCAGTAAAAGGTTGCCCGGTAAAATTGACTGGAAACCGATTTTATTTCGACAAGGATTCAATAGGACGGTTCCTGAACGTACAGGGCGATAATGGTCCCAACGCTCAGAGCTGAACTAGGTCTTCGGCTAACTCGGATCTTCGCTAAACTCAGATAAAATTGGTCAATCCATTTAGATCCGACTTATACGAAGTTTACTGTACCTACATGAATAGTGATTTGGGGGATTCAGATATTTGAGACCGTTTTGAATAATCAACTGACAAAACAAACACCCCACACTAGATCCCAGTTAAAGTAATCATTTAGAATAAAATACATGGAACAAAACCAACAATCAAGACAATACATGTACCTAGTGGATTAGAAATGAAATGATGCAGTCTCGACAAGCTTAAGATAGTACATTTCAGTCACGAAGAAAAACACTATTAAGCCTTTAGCACCGTCACAGACGCAGCATGAACTGGTAAATGATCCTATAATACAGAAAGGTATTCACGTATCTCGGGTGGTTTGAGACGGTCGGTCTAAGGAACAGCAGTTTCAGCCTGTCAAGGGATGTTCCAGTATTAATAGAGTTGATCACTTTTCTCTAATTTTCTTCAAGGAACTGGGGAAGTCAATATTTACATTAACCATGTGCTTAAGGATTAATTTGGTTTTGCAACCAATTTTTATTTTATATATTAATTTTCCCCAGCAGAAGTTAAGCAACCCCATCAATCACTTGTGATTGTCACTAATCACTCGCTTTAAAGTCTGTATTCTTCCATGACCAAATTTACATGTTTTAAATCTGGCCTACTGATTACGAATAGTCAGTTTTCAATTCCTCAAACTTAGTACCGGTACTTTTTAATTTTGAAATATAATTTATTGAGTTCAGATTTGTTTTTGTCCTATTGCTAAGGTTTAATGAGGTCACAAGAAAATAAGTTTGGCTTGAACTAGCACAAAATTACAAATTTTATACACTATCGACTTTAAAATCTTTTTTTGCAATTGAATTTTATCCAGAGTGTGCGGTCTTTGCTCAAGTTTTTGTGGGTGATTTTGACAGTTTTTTTCTACTACAAACTAGAGGCTAGAAAACGTATGGGTATTTACATGTAGGTTTAAGCTGAGTATGACAAATTTATGGAACAAATTGTCAGCACAATTTACAATTTTTATTATATTATGGTGTTTTAGGTTGATTCATGCGTCCAAATACAAAATATTTATCATACTCATAGGCCTACTACAGTGTATATTTAGACTAAAAGCCTGCAGTATGGTAGTATTGTGTGTAGCATATAGGAGGAGAATATAATTTAAGGTTCTAAGTTACTAAGTCCAAATATTGATTTTATTAAACTGATAGTGATATATGTTTTAATGTTCGCATGTTGGTCAAAATAACAGTTTTCAAGCTCAATTTCAATAAAGGATCTGACATTTTTTAAGCTTTGCATTAAAAATAAAAACAAAGAAAAAGGAGAAGAGAAATTGTACCTTCAAGACTAAATAGTGATTTTGAGAGAGTTTCTGCTGGCTGTTTTCATCAAATTTTGTTTACTAAAGCTTCTCTCACAATCTGCAATTCTCACAGGTATACACATCTTGTCAATTTTAATTTTCTTTCAATTTACACATTGAATTTACAATATGCTTATGCCCTGCTGTTGATGGCTTGTCAAAATGATTTGGAACAAATAATTAATGGAAACTGAAATCCCAGTATTCAAACTTGAGTCGATGGAGCTAGTTAGCACTGGTTCTCAGTATTAATAATTGTAAAATATTTGCAAACATATTGATTGCTTTATTTAAATTGTATCTTTATCAGTTTACTACGCTACACAATATAGATGATGTAAACACCCTTTGGCTGTATATCATGTTTTCTATTTAAAAATGTAAATGTTTTTCACTCTGGAGTTGACCCTTTGTGTAAATCCTGTCAAGGGACACAACTCTTTAGGGCACAATTGTTGTTGGCACAACTCTTGTTGCCATTAGACTAATAGTTTGTAAGATATTAATGTATAATCAGGAGGAATAAAAATACTGTAAGAACATAGATTTAGAAGGATTGTTGTGTCCAAGGCTAAACTGTTAGCAAAATATTCTGGTAAGTGTGAGTGTAACAGGCACATTCACCCATCAAAAGGCAACACCTAGTAACTCGTGTTTTTCTTATTTTGAGAAAACAAATCCATTGATTTGACTATTGAGTTACTAGGTTTTTCTGAGGCATACTAGGCAAATGAAGGAAGTTGCTAGGTTGGGTCATTGGTGTAACTGCTTACAAATGAAAAGATCGAAATATCTAGTACAACAACAGGAAGTATATACACCCTAGTAACTACAAATTTGGTCCTAACTCAATTTTGATAAAAAAGTGAGTTACTAGGTGTTGCCTTTTGATGGTAGCATTGTAGCTAACTTAAAGGACTTCATTTCTCGGACAATACCCTTAAAGGTCCTCATTTCGTACAAGAAAATCCAAATTCCATACATTTTCAATAAATGCCCAAAATATGTGAAAATTTAAAACACAATAAATAAACAAATCGAATATAGTAATTTTGATTTTAAGTTTCATCTGGTGGCCAAGTTATTGAAAACTCATTAAAGTCACAATGTATGTGTCAAAGTTGAAAGAAAAAGTCTATTTATCTGTATGCTGCGAATTCCATATCTACCAAAATATGTAATATTCTTATTCAAGTTCAACTCTGATATTTTGGTAAGTAAGTAAATTGTTGACAAGACCCATTTCCTTTAGACTTTCATGGATTGATGGAAGACAGAGTTTGTGG